AAAAATACTGCTTCCTTGCTTACCATATTAGTTAAGGCTGAGAAAAAGCCAGTCTGGTGCTCCTCTTCCTTGTCTTTGTATTGCCTGAACAAAAAGACAATAAGGATGAAGATTCAGGGTTAGAAACGGAATTAGGGTTATTCTACCTGAATCCCTATGAGATGGTCTTATCTGATAAAGATACAGGATGGAGGAAGCTTCAACACTCAAGTCCTTTTCAAGAACTCTCAAAAGAAGATGCAAAGGGCATTAAAATATTTGTACATTGTGTAGAGTTGAAGTTGGGCTGTTGAAAGATGTGAAACCTGAACAATGCTTCTGCTGCTACAGAGGATACATGCTGTTTGGGCTGATGCTGAAGGAAAGGGATCAAGTGACTTAGGGAATTTTGTCCTGCACTGGAAAACCAGTTATAAACCACAGCAACACACAGAGTCAGTAACCAGAGAACAGTTTCATTTCAGTTTTCATCTGCTACAGACCAAATCAGAGTTGGTCACCCTACAGCCAGCAGAAACCATGAGGACCATTATGGCTCATAGCCTGGTCTTGCCTGATTCCACGTTCCTGGAGCAAGTGAAGAAACTGGAACTGGAGTAAGTGAAGTCAACAAATAGGTTGGGCACCTCAGACTTAAGATATGTTGATTCATTTGGCATTCAAACAGACTAGCAAAGCTCCCACAGCCATTTATTTTGTCTGTCATAAAGGAATCTGATCACACACAAAGCAACATGCAAAGAAAGCAATTCTATATTCTTGGGAAAGGGCAAAAGAAAGTGCTAAGCAAAACAGGCCACGGTCTGAGAGAGCATTTGTCAGAATGAACAAAGTTGGGTGGGTAAGCTTTTTTCTGCTTTAGTCTCAACATTTACTCTATTAAATACATCTACATGATGTGCTGATCTTGCAAGTCACCTGCATAGCTACAAAAACAGACTTTCAAATGCATTAAAACATTTTTCTGGATATATAGATAATCCTACTGCACACCAAAAAATATTATTGTGTTGCTCAGGTGAAACTGTTGTAAGCTTCCACATTTTTCTGAAGCACTTTCCTCTTAGGAAAACTTCAATGTTTTGTGCTGTTGCATGTGAAGCAGAGATTGGGAACACGCTACCCCTACTGCTGACTTTCTGGCTCTTTCTTCAGTAGCAGTTATTGCTTTCCACCTTTTGGAAGAGCATACATCCCCTAATCATCACTGATCTGGCACGTGGACAAGTCCTGGATACACTTGTTTGTTTTAGATAGTATTTCAGTTAAATCAATTTTGTAACAGGGAAGTTCTCAGCAAATCATTAACCTTTCAACTGGGACTAAGATTTTATGCAAGGTGCATACAGAGGTAAAATCCACGCTAGTAAAAACATACAATAGATATTTTCTCCTACAGCAAGATCTCTCCTGAAGCACATCAGCCCAGCTGGTAGAGATGCGTTTATGCTTGCAAAGCTCCTCAAAGCTCAAGACTATTCCCTGCCTCTCCAAGTGCATCAAGGCTGTTAGGTGATTAAATAAGTACTTTAACACAAAAAAAGAGTTAGTGAAAATGTACAGCAACTATCATATGTTAAAAACCAAGACACAATAAGGTTTTACCTGTTATATTCCGATAAAGCCTGGGCAATTACAAGACCCATTCCCTGAAAAATAAAGCATTAAAAAACCTTCACATTACAAATCCCAAGGGAGGAAATCACACACTGAACACACACAGCAATGCTGTCCCCCACCCCGATAACCTAGCACGCTACGAAGAACTTACTTGGAAGGTGTTTGAACTATTAAGACAAGTTTTGATACAACAAAATTATAATCCAAAAACTAAGACAACAAAATTTAAAAGTTATATAAGTTAAACTGAGACCATTTACTCTCCTTGGGCATCCAGACAGAGCTTACTCACTCAAGAAGCCTCAATAAAATGCCCAGAACTTCAGAAGGAAGCTGCTGTCAGAGGAAAGACACCCAAAAACTCAAAACATGAGCCATGAACATAGTAACTTTTGACTTCTTGCAAACAGAGTCTGCCGTTCCACAGTTACTCAGCATCCCTTCTGTCAAGCCAATTTAATTAACTCAGAATAACAGTTACCACGCTTTAGTTAGCACAGAGCTTGCTTTTTACTTGAAGAACAACTTCCAAGTCCAGACCTCCCATAGCTCATTGTGCTGTCACCTTTTGTCCAGGCCTGGATACAAAACTTAAGACTGTGGCTACAACACAAAATAGGTTGCAGGACTCAACTCAGTTACAAGCTTCCACTAAGCTACAAGAATTGACTTGTGGACTGGTAAAACCAGGTTACACGGCATTGAAAATCAGATCTTTTTTGGCATAAGCCATCCTGTGCCTCTTTGGCACGAGACAGCAAATAGTGTATAGCTCATAAATGTACAACAGATGAACTTTAGCATGCCCCTTGCTACCTAGCTTTTTAACCACCCTCACCATTTAACTGGTGGTCAAACTTTCCAAATCATGAGCTGCCACACCTATTGCAAGAGCACAGTTAGGGCTGAACAACCACTGTACTGGTGTTCCTTCCAGGAGCACTGTTCCTAGACCTGCTCTCTACCACACACCATGCCTGCACTCATTACACTACCACCACATGTGAAATAGCATCCCCAACAGGACAGAGGAAACCAGTCAAGTACTCACATTGAGTGTAGCCTCATCATCCACGATGGAGAGCTTCACAATGTAGGGATTCACTGACTGCTCAGGGTGGGGGGAGAAGGAAGGAAGAAAACTGGGTTTAAGTTCAGCCTTCAGCGAAAAAAACCATTATTATCTTCCCAAGTTTACCCAACCACCTGGGAAGAATCTCTCTCCTGTCCCATAAAGCAGAATACACACAAACAAACAGAAGCCACAACATATGCTAAGACTGCTGTGCCTGGGACACCTTCTCTTCACTGGCTCAGCCAGGCAGTCTCCTGATTTTATTGAGAGGGAGTTTCTGCTCCTCCACAAGCTCATCTGTCAGTCCTGAAAGTGGAACAGCTGTCCTGCAAGTCTGTTATCTGTGACACACACACACTGCTATGCAGTAGGAATAGGCAGTGAAGCTGGGACAAAACATTAGCATTCTGCTATCTCCCTTCTGCAACACCTTGCCAAGACTGCTTAAAGGAAGGAGGATCCAGGAAGGCGTGACAATGTTATACACTCATCTGCTGCTGGGTTAGAGATCAACACTTTATTTACACCGCTGAGATCTGGAAGTCTCCGGACAACATAAACTCCTTGACCTTAGCTGAACAAAGCACACAGGCTCCATCTATAAAAATAAATGCTAATAATTTAAGAAGCATTTTAGATTAGCAATGCACGTTTGTTTTTCCTGGTTTTCCTGTGTGTCAGCGCAAGACTAAGAAAGTTGATTTCAACTCAAGACAGAAAAGTCTCATTCTATGGAGTAAGCCCAAAGTGGATGGGAAGAATAAAACATATATTGTGCTCCAGTAGCAGCCCTACAAGTTATACAGTTATCTGAGATTTGCCCACAGCGTGACAGCAAGTTAAAAATAAGGCTGATCAGAAAACATCACTCTCAACTACTCAGTTTTTTGGGAGGATCAGGCTTTTTTTTTTTGATCAGAAAAGAAACTCATTAGAACAGTCCAAAGCTTAGCCAGCCTGTCAGCTGCCTCCAGCAGCACACAGCCCTGTTTCTGTCTCAGAAAAAGACAGAAGACTCACACAGAACACAACTGGGCACAAACCACACAGAGAGATTTCCTTGAGGCTGGAGTAGAGGCTCCTACTGAGCAGCAATATATGGTTGTCTCTGTACAACCATGCTCCCCTTCAGAAATTAAACTGTCAGTGGAGTAGAAGCAAACTTCACAAATCCATAATTAAATTAAAATCCATCCTTATAAAGATAATTTATGTATTTAATTTTGCTAATTTCAGTCATTCAATGGGAAGAAACTCCCTACACCACAGCTCCCACACAGAAGAGACCAGTGATTCATGACCAGGGAAAGTGATGAGGCTTTCCAGGCAATGGGCAGCTGGCTATGCTGGATTATAGGCTGCAGGGTTAGCCAAATTCCAGATGTGGGAATAAGCAAACTACATTACCAATGCCACCAGGCTGCCCTGAGACCTGGTCATACACACCATCCCATCACAGACAGGGAGGGAGTCTCTAATTCCTTTCAGTGTGCAAGTCTGTACCAGTGTGATGGGAACCCTTCCTGTGTTGCCCACAGGATGTGCAGTTTGCTCCTGCCCCTCCTTGAGAGCCCATAGCTCCAGTCACTGTCTATGAGCACTGCTCTGCACATCTATGATGAACATCAGCAACCTGCAACTTGTACAAGCACCCCCAAAACTACCCCATACTCCCTGCCTGCTTCCCTGTTCTAATCCTGCTGCTTCAGAGGTCAGTTCCCCTCGCACCAGGAATCACAGCAGGGGTTTGTAGAGGCTATTATGCCTGTCACTCCACAACATGCAGACATGCAACAGTCTTGAAAAAAGGTTAATAAGCATTTTGAAAGCTTCAAATTCTGTCAATGAAGCAGTTATACAAATTTAGAAATAGCTTCTGCATCCACCTGCCTCCAGAAAGAGCTCAAAAATTCTTCTGAGCTCTTCAGAGAACACAGATTTTTCCTATCACTGCCATCAGGTAACAAACACAAAAATAACAATGCCATCTTGTCAGTGGTGAGGCACAGACTGGAAACTGGGAATACTCAAGATGTCCTCCATGAACTATCCACCATCAGGTGCCAACAATCTCAGAAATGAAGGTGGAAGCTGCAGGGGGATCATTACCAGGTAAATTTTAAAGCAGTCCCCATGTGAGACATGCCATGCAAAGTGAAGCACACTTCAGTGAAGCACAGAGGTCTGGCAGAGGGATGCTCCTCCAAGCCCCTAAATAAATCTCCACTTCCAATAGAAAGTAAATTTTTTTTTGGTAGGTAAAAAAAAAGCAGGAAAATAATCCAAGCCAACCATGTATAATCATTAGGTGCTTAACTTATCTTCACATTCATAACACAAATAAGGGCCAGAGTCCATGACCACCCCTCGCAAGACTCTTCCCCAAGCACTCAGTAGAGATGATTCAGTAGATTTGCTGCCAGCCCTGATGAGGCCATCTCGTCTGCAAGCAGGTCACTCTGCAGGGAACTGGAGCTTGAATAATTACTCTATTTGTTGATGAGATTCATTTAAAATAATTCAAGTTCTATGAGAATTTTTTATTTTATGAAAAAAAATAAAATACATGAACTTTCTGACTCTCCAATGTTCTAAGTGTCTCTTCAGCACCTGTAGCTGTCTGTATCAATGAGAGACACATGCATAAAACCAGACATGAAGGGCTGTTGGATACACTGTATGCCAACAGACAAGCACACAAAGGGAAAACTCCACATTTTAACTAACTTCCTTCAGCTGTGCCTAGCAAAAGAAACTCTGCAATTCTAGCAGGTTGAACATGAGGCAAACTTCCACCTAGATATTATCAAAGAATAACTATTTAAAAGTTACTAAATAATTTTATGTTTTAACTTGCTATTCTATCAGCCATCCCTTAAAACAATGGGAAAGTGATCAAATAAATACTTTTCCTCACAGTATTTTCCCTCTTTGACAGCCTTTTGTGTATATTTAGTTTCACCAATTTCCTGATATAGTCAACTAGTTAGTTACTGGTTTATGTTTCTCTCACATAGAATCAAGGTAAAAATATTTTCTCTGAAATCAGGACTAGGATTTTAAAAAAACCAACATAAAATATAGCTGAAGGCTTCGATAAGTATACAGTTGGAACAACTTTTGAGAATTACTAGGTTTTTTTGGTAGGTAAAAAAAAGCAGGAAAAAAATCCAAGCTAACCATGTATAATCATTAGGTGCTTAACTTATCTTCACATTTGTAACACAAATGAGGGCCAGAGTCCATGACCACCCCTCGAATGTCCAATAAAGGACATTCCTTTAAAGGTTTCATGTAACGACATGTAAATCATTTTTACTCCTAGAGCAGGTGTTAATGAGCAAGCTAATATCTCAGCTACACCAGTAATGAAAACATGGACAGACACTGTTCAGGGAATCTGAGAGAAGACTACAAAATTCACATCCCAAAAATATAAAAGAATATCCTAATGCAAAATGCACTGGTATTCATACTAAAGAGAGACATGGGATCATAGACAACTAATGAATTTTCAGCCTTATTAGATTTTCTTAAGCAGCTGGAAACAGAACTTAGCAACCAATGAAGTTCAGACCAAAAGAAAACCTTTCAGCTGCAGCACAGTTAACTACAAAGAGAACTCCAAAGCATTTGAGGCACCAAAGTGTGCTACAATATACTGACAACCAGGCAACCACCAAACTGACTCTAAGGACCAAAGAACAGCAAATGAAAGCAGCTGCTCTACTTAAGGACAAAGATTATGGCCGCATTACTAAAGGCTTTGCTTGTAGCACTGCTACAAAGGGCAACGTTGGGCAGTTGTCACACAAAAACCATTCAGCCATGCCAGATGAACTGCCCAAGCTGAAATTCCCCTTGCTACACATCTGCTTCAGTTGGATTGTACTATTTAAACATCAGCACGATTTCTTTTGGGTGCCCAGTTTCAAGACATCTAGGACAATGTCCTCCAAAGCATTTGACCCCACCCAATACTCCACAGAAAGCAACTGCAAAGAGTAGAGTGCAAGTCTCATGCACTCACAGCATTCTACCTTGCTAAGGGTATAAACTCTAGTCCACAGGGATCCATACCTCAAGGATGGGACTACACAGCTCTCCACAATTTGATCTGAATGTTGCAATGAGACCTCTGGTTTCTCCAGTCTGCCCTCATCAGTAACCTTACTCATATAATTCCCAACATTTTTCCCTCATAGCCATATACTGAAATGATACTCCATGCTCCTGTTTCATGCTACCACAGCACAGATTGCTGGACAGAATCTGCAGTTCATAATTCTGACAACCTTGACAAGAATGAGAAATTGACAGGGATTACTCTGACACGAAGTCTAGCTCCTGTCTTTGCATATCTCTAGGTCTATTCATAATCCAAAACAAGATCTATTATGAAACCAAGTAGGTTTTGGAGCCTGCTCCCTCCTGGTATTTCTGTTGAAGAGGGGGTATTCCAGAACTTCTGCATTTGTTACCAAAGGGTATTAAGATATTCCTACTTGTGAAAAAGCAAAAGATTGATCATTAAAGCATCATGCCTCATGCAAAGAAAGGCCAACATTAGGTGTTTTCTGACATTTGAAATGTTTCTTTTTCAATGTGATGAATAGCAGAAAAAAAATGGGAATGCACCACAAAGTAGTACAACCAGTTTAGAAGGAAGATGAATAAAGTTTCTCAAAGAGGAATCCATCAAAGAGACAGACTTCTCTCGGAAATACTAGCTGTAATGTTTCAGTTCGTTCTTTGGTCACAGCTCCACCATCTCTTCTGGGGATCTGTGCTCTTTCAGTCTGCTAGTCAGGTTCTGAATCACAAATTCAGTCTGAAGCCCAAGATGACTGACAGCTCATTTTGCTTTGGAGACTATGTATAAATGCACACACACACACAGAGCCAAAGATGCAGGTTTGGCACAACAGTAGCTCTTCCAAAAGGACCTCCCTTAGAATGCTTCCACCAAGGAAATGCAAATCCCCTTCTTTCATGCTGGCACAAAACGAGCTGCAGGAATACCATACATATTTGACTCTACACATACATCAGAGACAGACAGAGTGAGTACAACAGGACTGCCTTGCAAAGCTGCTGCAGCTCCATGGTGATGCCCTGATAAACATTACTGTGTGTACTGCTAATAACTGCACTGTGTGCTGCCTTAATAACACAGAGGTCAGGCTAAAGTGATGAAGTAGAGAGAAGAGATGTTTCTATTACCCAGAACACCTACCTCATACTTTCTGTAGTTGACCAGCAAGGCCAGAAGGACAACAGCATCATAGCCATGTTCCCTGCGACTAAGCGGGCTGGACAGGATCTGGAAAACAAAAAAAATAAAATCACACTGCTCTGTTCAGGCTTCAGGAAGCTTGCAGTGACACCCAGATGGTGCATAGCCATGAAAATTATGTGCAAGAGTAAACTATGTCCTAGGTGAAAGAGGATATTTAAGGTCAAGGGAGTGTCAGTGCTTCCAGGAAGTTCTACATGCAGAAAACTTTATTTATCACAGAAAGGATGCACATAGACTTTCTGGGCATAAAAGGCAAATATATTTCTCAGCACTTGACAGCGTCTCAGTGCATCACCAACATTACCTGTGCAAGTTTTCTGAGTTTTCCCAAGCTCAGTTCCACTTCTAAAAACTGTAACTTATCAAAGAGCAGAAAAAAACCCTTAATATATCTAGACTGCCTTTTGAAAAAAAGCTTCTCCAATACAGGAACTCTCTGTGAAATCAGACCAGAAATTTGCTCAGCTTCTATCTGTGCAGAATTGTGAAAATACACAAGTGAGAATACTTTAATTACTCAGTAGTGATTAAAACAGTCGGACTAGAGTAAGGAGGAGACAGCATTAAAGAATAAATATATATGACTGAGCTATGAATGGAAGCAACAACAGTGCCAGTGAGCTATGCTGCACTGAAAAAGCTGAAAAGCACATATATCAATGAAAGCACTCTATGACAGAAGAGCCCCAGCGGTAGAAGAAAGAACCCTTACCTGTAAAATAGCTTCAAATATGCTGTTAATCATCACATACTCCAGGATGGTGTTCTGGCTAATGTTATCCGTCACCTGAGTACAAACACAAGTTTTAAAATCTCACCCAAAGCCTCCACTGGTGCTGTAGCTGCCTCTGGCACAGACTGGGAACAGAAGAGTTCTGCTCCCAGATGGACATGTTTATCCAGCATCTCACACTTAGTCAGCAAGTCGAGGTGTGCCTAGCAGTAGAGCTAGACACAAAGTAAAAGCAATCTGTCCTGCCTCCCACCCCTCTCTCTGGCAAGAAGCAGGACCCACATAATAAGAGCTCTCCCTTTTCTCCACACATTGGCATTTTACACAGCTGCATGACAACAGCCATCAGCTGCTCCAGGCTCTGCACAGGAGGCAGAGAATGAAAGACAGCGAGCATATGCTTCACTGAGAACTCTCCCAACATTAAGAGGGCAGTGAAGACCTCCCTCACACTCAATTATCTCTTATCACAGACAAAATAGTTCAGAGTTGACCATCTCCAAGAGCTGATGAGCGGCCATTTATTACAACTTCCTCATTCTTCATATCCTCACCACTCCTGTCTACGCCACACTTCGTATCTTTCCTCAATCCCTCTCCCTTTCCACTTATCTGAGACTTCTGAAATATCTTTTACCCTAAAAAAACAAACACCTGTGAATCCAACTGACAGTTCCTCCTGTCTCTCCTATTTTGCCCCTGTTGGCATCTACCTTATGGGGTAATAAAGAGTCTGCTAGTCTGTATTGCCATTTCAACTAGAGCCACGATGTATATTCTGGACTGATCCTTGTTCTCATTGACAAGTTCTGTCCCCCTCTTAAGCTTCACCCTGCAGCTTTCGGCTCAAGTTTTGAGACACTTCCATCCCTCAAGGTGTGGCTCATATAAGCCTTTAAGCTATTACCCAGTTGGTATTTCTTTACCGTCACCAAGCAGAGAAGCAGCTTCAGACACAAACTTTTGAGGCTTTCAGAACCTTCTGCACAGAGGAGCGAGTCCAAGCTCTCCATCAGATTCTGCAGAACAACAGCCACATTATTTAAAGGTAGTATTTTAAATTATTTGAAAAGTTTGTTGTAAAAAGCTTTAGGAAATTCAAATACAAGAGCACCAGTATAAAGTCATGTTCTTCCAGAATTAATAACTGAGCCATTACTACTGCTACACAGTAGTATTCTGTTTTACTTGTAGGAATAATGAGGGGGTTTTTTTGTAAGCAGCACACCTACAATTAACAGAACACATACAAGTTATGATTCAAAATAGATACTATATAGCTGTTTGACAGATATTCATAACTAATAGTTTTCCACATACTAAGTTACAGGTAATACAGTTATTCTTAATGGAAAAATGCAGTTCTGATAGCCAAATTATTATGCAGTATTTTCCCCAAATGTACTTGGATTTGTATAGAGAAAAAAACTGCTACAGTTGTAGAAACATGAAAGATACAACACGAATTCAACTTTATCACTGATTTTGACACTTCTCAAACTCAACATCTTTACAGTGAAGAGCATCAATAATTTTTAAATGGTACATACGCTGATGGAATATGAGAACACAGGATATGACTATCAGATGAAAATTAAGCACAAGATATGAGGTTCAATACTAGGTAGTAATGGCCTGTGACAGCCTTTTCTGGCCTTAAGATTTCTTAAGGGAAAGATTTCTTAAGTAGTACAGTGTAGAACTAAAGGAAAAGCAAGTGCTCTGTTATGCTACTAACAAACCCACCAGCAGGTAAAGGACAGCTGTTTTCAGTAAGTGACAGGAGTATTTCCCCAAAAGCTGGACCCTGTAGACACATTTGCCTACAAATCACTGCCCTGCAAACTGTTCCCTACATCACCAGGGCCTCACCTTCATACACAGCTCTGCCTTATCAAAACCCACAAGCATGTTGATGATGTCAAACCCAGAAGTGGATTTGTTCTTCTGATGCACACCCCGAATTAATGCACACAAAGTCTGCAAAGGGAAAAAACAGAAGATAAGATGCAAGGCAACACCTCCAACTCAACAGCAAAACCCACCGCATGACCCTCTCCTAGCACTGGCAAAGCACAGACACTGAAATAAATACCACCAGCCTGGAAGCCACACATTTTGGCTGACCTCTCCTCCACCTCTATTGTTTCTAAGGAGGATCTTCTATGTTGAAAACTCAAGAAAACTGGAGAATATTTTTGTCCATATTTTTCCTGTTTGAGCACAAATTTCTTCTTGGCTACCACACTGAAATACCGAGTCTGACCAATAAAGTCTCCAAGGCTATTAGGCAGCTTAAGTTTTCCTAACTCCTTCATGTTTCTTGGTGCAGGCACTTGATTACTGCTTTATACCAAGTTCCTGGAGATCACTAGCAACACGTAGGCCTCAGCACACTATGCTTCCAGCTGACACTCCGAAAAATTTACAGACAGCACACGACTCATTTGCCCCAGGAGAGGGAACTATCTGTGATGACTTTTGCCATCAAGCACCTCTCAGGTCTGTGTAGTGGGGCATGAGCAGGAATCTAACCACTGCAGTTTAAGACTGCAGCCTAAATTCCCCATGAGAAGTAATCAGTTGCAGAAGATGTAAAGCTGAAGACAAGCAGACCTGAAGGAATTGGCAGACCTCTAGAACCATACAGGAGCTAAGGGTAAGGCAGACTTTCTTTTTTTTCATTACTGCCAGAGACAAGGCACTGGGCTAATCAAACCTTTGCTCACTACGGTCATTCTCAAGAAATGACTAATTAATTTTTGTCTTCAGGATCACTTCCCACATGAACACAATCTGCTTAAGGGAACACTCTCCCAACTTCAGCTCAGGTTCCTATTTACACTCACACAGCAGGATTCTAGACTTGAGCCCTGCCCTAACCTTTTCCAAGAGCCTGGATACAAGTCAGGGAATTCAGGGCTGGGCTGGGCTGTTTATACAGCTATAACTACAATATTTAATAGCATATCTTCAAACTAATTCTAAAAATAATAATAAAACAATACAAAATTATATGTCAGAGGTGTAGACATTAAGGTTTAAATCAACTTCTCCCAGCTCACTCCCTGTCCAATATCTCCTACAAGTGACTTCTCCAAACCTGAAATTCATATCCTGTATTCCTACAGCTGAGAGAAGCAAATGCATCAATATATTAAGAATCAGCTTTGTGAACTAGTAACATCAAACATCAAGACTGAGGAGGGGAGTTTCCCATACAAGACATGGGACAACAGAGCTTTGGTAAGGAATAATCCACAGGAAAATAGCTATTCATTCTGGGTGACAATTCTTCACGGCTCCCAATCAGGAAGTGTCCAGCTGGGACAGTTCTCTGTAAAAATTTCACACTAACTTCTCCAGAGGTTTATTTCTTTCTTGACCCATATGGAAATTCAAAAAGAAGGCTGAAATGAAGAACAGGTGAAAGTAGAATACAGAACTACATAGAGTGAGTACTCTTGAGCCCTCAGATGGACAGTCTGCAATGTGAACAAGCCCCCTTGTCTCCTCACCCATCCCCTTCATCCTCCATCACCTGAGCCTCCTGACTAGTTATTGCTCTGCAAAGCCTAAAGAGACAATGAATGTTTGTAACCTCCACAGACAATAAGCAGCAACTGTTCTGCAAACACGACTTCTCCTCAGAAGCAAAGAAAGGAGCATAAGGTGTTTGATACCAGCAGCAAATATATTGCCTTATCTGAAGCTAAAGACAGCATTGCCTGTCTCCCAGCATGGTACCTGTAATGCATTGACCACTCTGATTGGGTGCTCCTCACCCAGTGCCTGGATGCAGTGCTGAAACAAGCAGTTGATGTTCTCTTTGATCTTCATTAACTCTTCTCCATCCAGGGCCTCCAACTTGCCTTCTAGATACTCCAGGTTGACCTGTCAGGTTAAGCAGCAGTTCAGGCATGTTACACCATCACTGGCACCTTAGAAACACAAGTCCTCACACTGACAGTCTGCCACCTCCTAGGCAGAACAGCATCAGCAAATCAGAGGATGTTCAATTTCTGTTACCTTCATGAGAAATAGCTCCTCCCAAAACCTGGGGTTGCATTTACTGGGGTCCTCTGTCTGCAAGGAAAAGAAAGAGCCAGGAGGGCAAATAAGAAGAAATCATTCAGACAGAATCTAAAGAAAATCATTATCACAAGTAGCTCAGAGTCAGCACCACCCCACTGGATGAGCCAGAGGTCTCACTGTGCACAATTCAAGCTACACAGATTCCCAGAAACAGAAGCACCAACAGAAGCAGATCTCCAATGGGATGCCTCTGTTTATTTTCTGAATTGTTTTTTAAGAAATACTGGAAAAGCCATGACTTCCCATAGATCACAAATGGTGCTGGTAAACAAGACAAAGTGACAAAAAAAGAAGAACACAGAGCTCTGCATGACAGTAGGACAACCTGAAGCATGTGCTTACACTGTGCAGTTCTTACCTTGGGGGGAAAAAATCCACCATAAAGAGCCCTCAGCAGAAACTAAACCAATAAAATTTAACACAATGCTTTGGAAAGAAGAGATGCTCAACTCCTTACCGTGAAAATCTCATCATACATCAACACAACCTTTTCTTTCAATGACTTCTTGGAGGCTGAGGATTTCCGGAGCAGCCCACCCTTCTTCTCGGTTTGGGCCATGCTGTATACCCTGAAGGTAAGAACAGACAAAAAAGGCTCAGAAAATGTGAACTTTTCTTCAAGGCATATCCGGCCTGACTCAGCCATGAAAGACTTTTTCACTGGACTGAAATACCAACAGTCTGACAAGCACAGAGGCTTTATGACTATACCAGATAAGAAATCAGATCAAAGGACACATCCAGTCCTATATCCCGTTTCAAAGAATGATGCAGAAGTCCAGACAAAGGCAGAAACAGAATAAGCTCCTTTTGGACAAATTTCCTTAATTCTTCTCTACTAGAAACTGATTCAAGATCCAGACCAATGCATTTTACATCTAGAAAAGTATGTAATTTTTAATCTCATTGGAGGAACTGTGATACTTATTTTCAAATGGATACCTAGTCCTCTTTGATGCTGGTCAAACCTCAAGAGCATCTGGTGACGAAGCTCCTGAAACTGTTTGAAAGCCTTTTATTTTTTTCTCTTCTCTAAAAAGCTGTTTAATTTGCGGCCTACCAAAGCACTTCAAATTCTGCTTTTGCACTCAGAGGTGGCATCCAACACTAGGAAACACTTGGCTGCAAAGCCTCCCTAAAGCACTCCTGCCACCCTTGCTCATCTCTACCTCTGCAACCTTGGCATCCCTCATCTGTGCCAGCTGCTCTGCAAATCAAGCCAGAGAGGAACTCCAGCCTCAAAAGCATCCCATGTGGTTCAGTTTTGGGAGGAGGGTGGGTTTTTTTAAACCAGCTGAATTTCATGATCCATTTGACAGTAAAGGGTTTTCTAAAAACACAAAGAAGTTTTACTATCATTAATTGGTGTCTTACTGACTATCCCACTAAAAAACTAGAAAAAGGAAGCATCATTATTACAAAATGAGCCATTTCACAAAGTAACAGCCATAGCTGTGGTCCTGAGCCTTCTGAAACAGACTTCCCATTCAGGGGTTGAGCCTCAAACTGCAAATATGTATTTATCTGCAATCGCAGACTTTCCTGGTCAGCATCACAGCTTCAGCACTGTTCTAACTTCCTCTATCACCACAGCATGTCAGAGGTACTTAGCAGAAAGGGAATGCCATCCCTTCTCATACCCCCGAGCTCCCAACCTTTCTCCCATACCTCCAGAGGTAATTACACACATGGCAGCAGCATACCACAGGCAAAGGCTTAAGTCATGCTCCAGAAAAACACAGGCAGGCTCTTGTGGAAGTTGCACTCAGCCATGATAAATTATGCATAGAGAGGTAAGTTCACTGCTGTCAGCATCTAAGACCCCAGAGCTTTCTGAGCTGGCAGCCATGGAGACAGCTTTGGATGTAACCTCCACACCAGACTGCCTGAACCCCTTCCACAACCACAGCAGGTTTAGATCTGTCTTCCCCTCAAAGACCAAGGTGCAGCAACTACTGAATACCAGTTCCATATCTCTTTTATCCACATTCTTTCCACTGTAGACAGCTTTTACTTAACTTAATCTACAACTATGCTCTTAACTAGGTCTCTCAGGCTCCCAGAGTTGGTTATTCAAACATCCACCCCTTGAGCCATAAGTCTTGGTTCTAAGTGGCAGAAAAACATTTTTAGACCTGGAGAAACAACGCTGCTGCAACAGACCCTACCTCAGGTGTGAAGGGAAGGAGCTTCACCTGGATGGGAGAGAGCAGGACAAAGAGCAGCAGCTCTCACACCTGAAAAGATAGGATTTACATAGACAGGCAGGGATGTGTTCTGTCTTCGCACTAGAAAGGGAATATGTACATACGACTGGTTACAGGCTGGCGTGTGTGCTGGAGTGAGAATGGAAACAGCCCCAAGACACACTGACAGAAGAAAGCTTAGCATCTACTGCACCATAACCTTCTGTAAACACCAAAATTATTCCTGTACCTAGTAGGTCTATGAATCCAATTAAGGAGGAAAAAGGCTTCCGACTAACAAATGAAAAAGAAAATATTATTCAATCATCTTGATAGTTTCTCTTTTACAGATTTTGCACTATTTTTAAACTGCCATGGGAAATAAAACATTATTCTAACTAAAAACATAATTGGAAACAGAGAGAAATCTATTAAAAGTCAAATCAAGAGTGATGTCACTTTTAGCCTAATGATAAAATTCTTGCCCAAGATTGCATAAAACCATTTTCCTGCTAGAATTTTAACTTCTGAACCTAAAGCAGCTGACAGCCCCAGCATACAAACACATCCATCAGTGTGCTTCCAATTGAATTACTGCTAACGAATCCCAATGTCAAAACTAATAAACTAACTCTCAGTGCTTCTAGGTCAACGTTCTCACATCAAATGTGTACGTGAATGGGAAGGGATCAATACACTCACTCTGCTTAGTCCCTGGACTTTCAGAGCTGCATTTTAACACTTTTCCTACATTTCCAGAAAGACAGAAAAATCTAAATCCCTCAAGACACAAAGGTTTGATGCAGGGTGAGCATCCGAGGGATCGCATGATCATGTGAAAATTCTAGTCTCTGTCAAAATGGGACTTGGGATTCACATTCTCTCAACCAAAGCTGCACAGGGCACATACAAAAACGACTGCTGGAGGCAAGGATTAAATAATGTTCTTGCTTATAATTTGCTGTTCTACAAATGAGCATATGGAAGAGCAAGGAGGGAAAAGTAAAAGCTGCCTTTCATGCCAATGCTTTATTAGGCTGTGCTTGTTTCATGACCTATGATGATCAGGCTGTACAAATGGCTTCTGCTTTTCACGTTATGCAATTACATTTTCTAGATGTCAAAGACAAACAGAAAACTGCATTTTGCTAATGGAGACCTTCCAGGAAGCTGCAGAAAACAACAGTGAAATGCACAAAACATTTATAAATAAGTTGTAAAGGTGTCAAATCATCAAGATGCCATGACAGCTTACAGGAACAACACCACTGAATATAGTTAACAATTTTCCTTTAAACTCCTCATTTAAAAAGCATCAGTGCATTTTCCACATTTTGGGTTCAAATGGATAATTTATTCTGTCAGTAGGTCATTCCCATTAACACATGCTGCTAAGTGAATCCTGCTGCATCCACTGACTGCACAAGGGAACTATGCCTCAGGGCCAAGAGAAGCACACGCATGGGGATTTTTAGAACAACAAGTACTTTGCTGTGCAGCAGAAGATCCAAGATGCTTCATCTGGAACTGAAATAGAACTCAACAGAGCACGAGTCTTGGCAGCTCAAAGGCAGGAAGATAAAAGCCATGGCAGACAGAAGTTCAGGCAGATTCTTGCTTTATCTTTATCAACCCTGGGATCTTCCCAGTCAGGAAGAAAGGGATGAACACATCCAACCATCCACCTCCTTTCTGTTTCGTTCCAGAACTCATAGCAGAGATTCCAACCTAACATATGACATTCCAATGAACATAGCTCTGTTAGCTTTTGGTTAGAGTAGCTGCAGGAAAAATGAATCTGACATTCTGAGTCTGAGACTTACTCAGACTTGTGCACACTGAAAATTGTGGATGCTCCACATTGTCACTCAGCATCTGTACAGACTTATTTGTATTCCACAGATCATCTTTTAGGAGCAAAAATACTGCAGAGAAGAAAACACTAATGCACATTTACACTATAATGACATCAGGAGCCAAAACTTGTAACTTGTATAATCTTGTGTGCAGCCCATCAAGCACAGCATTTTTCATTCATTTGCCCTGGACAACAAACCTGAAAGTTTTCAAGATTGCAGATGCATATACACAACCCTCATATGCAACCAAATGTGAATATGAATAAGTAGATATTTTTTTTCAGTGTGGACTCCTCAAAAAATTTACTGTAACACTTCATGGCTAAATACAAAAGAATACAGAAGACATAAAATGGTATTTTCCACACATTGACTTACTTGGAAAACCATTTATCCCCTATCTGAAAAAGGCTGTGTAAATGATCTGCACTAGTTTGTTCATGTCAAAACCCTGAACTTCAATCAATATTTATAAAAGACCCTGAATAAGAACTGAGATACTTTTGCTTTTAGAATCCAATATCCCTTGACTCGCCAGCGCTACTAAGACTGGACTCACTTGTTCAAATACTTCAAGGCCAGTAATTGTCTCCTCCCCCCCAACCATGCACTTGGGACTCAGTGTGATCATGCTTTGCCTTTCAAGGCATTCTGCAGGTGCATCATTCAAGTCTAAAGAAACGTTGCTCAAAAACCGTCACAATCATGCAAGAGGCAGAGATAGACAGGCCCTGTCTAAAAGTTAACCTACAGCTTCTAAAGCAGCATGTTTTAATCTCATTAAATTCTTCACTGAAGTACCAGGAAAAGCTTATGCTTAATCTATGTGATCAATCTGAGGAGTAAATACTGGACTGAGTAACAGGCAGCTAAAAAACAGATCCCAGTGCTTGTCCATCACTGGAAGCAATAGACAACTTGCATCCTGCACAAGAGTTTACGAATCCCAACGCATGGAAAGTGCCTGGACCTAGATCAAGCTCCAGTATTAAAACCCCCAGGACCACCTAACAGCAGCCTGGCAGACCACTAGTGAAAACAGAGAGAAAGAACACACTGGGCTAGATTTTGTCAAGGCTTTAGCAACCATGACCAAATTTCTGCTATAAGCAGTTAGGTTTTGTGCTAGTACATCCACACTGCTTTTATATTCCATCCATTCTTTACACCCTCATTTGGATATTGTCCATTGGCAAGAAAACTGCTCAGGCTGTACTTAAAACTGTAACGTGACTCAACCCACCAAGGGAAACTGCAACACTCATGGCATACAAATCCTGGATCCATCTGGCAGAATTTCCAGGTGCTCTCATGCAGTGTGTAATGAGAAACATATTCTGAGAGTGTGCTGATGACAAAAACCCACATAGATCCTACTTCTTTTTCTACAGTACCAAGCAACACCTCCAGCACAGTCACAGTACATACATTTTTACTGACAAGTCCTTCCATCCCGCTCAGAGTGGTACACGTGCTTCTACATAGTACAGTCTAAAGTTATACCACTACTGACCTATTTTTGCCC